TGAGGGTACAGGGGGTTGTGAGGGGTCGGATCTAGTGACCAGCTCACCTCCATTCTCCCCAAACCTCCCCTGCAGGCTTGCCCTTTGTCATTCTCTGACATGGGGATTTTGGGAGTTCGTCTCTGGCCAAGCTGGCCAGTGGGATTGTTGGTGGCTTAGAGCTGACCAAGGCACCGAGTGTCCTCGCCGATTCAGAGGCTGGCGAGCGCTCTCGTGCCTGGCACAGTGCTGGATGCTGTGAGGTGAGGCAAAGGGAGATGAAGATGCAAGAAACACGGGTCCTGGCCCTAGTGGGAACAATCCGATTATGGAAAGTAACTTATTCCTGAGTAACTGATGAAAGATGAGGCCACAGGAGAATCCGGGGGGAAGGGGGAGGGTTGGAGGGAGGTGGAGGGAAGGGGGACTGGGAGGGGCTCTGTGGGGCACAAGGCACTCAGGAGAGGTGAGTGCAGATGGACTGCCCAGCCTGAGCTCAATCTGCCCGGTGGAGTGACTGGGACATGCACCTCGGGGCCTGTGTCCAGGCTCTTTGCTGATCCTCTGTACTGCCTCGTGCTGGCAGTTTTGCCCAGATTTGTATCCAGATTCACTAACTGTGGTTTTAGGTCACCGTGACCTCCTCCCCCACCCCATTATTCTGGTAAATCAGGTTGCTCTTTGCTCAGTGTGCTTGCTCTTTGAGGACCAGGGGAGGGCTGGGGAATTTTGCTGAAAGCAAAAAGCTCATCTGGCAGAGGGCAGTGGGTTGGTGCGTTGCGATGGCTCAGGCAGGTCTGAACACAGGCCTCAGAGCAGACTGTGGGTCCAGATATCAGGCCATGTGGCAACCGTTCAGGGCAGCTGCTGGCTCGGGCCCTTTTGAAAAGTCATGGTACAAGACGTGTCCCAGGACGGCAGCTCGACCCCGACTCTGCTGTGGGCAACTTCATGGCTTGCCTTATGTCTCAACAGAATGAAAGATGACACTACTGTCAATGACATAGTGTTTATTTAAATCCTGAGGTTAAAAATAAAGACATTCCCAAATGGTGCAGCAGATGCTATAAGGAATATGTTTTGGGATACAAAAGTTCATCACCCCTGCTATGCAGGTGGAGTGTTGACATTTGATGTGCTTCTGGGTAATTCTTTTTTTTTTTTTTTTTTGCAATACGCGGGCCTCTCACTGTTGTGGCCTCTCCCGTTGCGGAGCACAGGGTCCGGACGCGCAGGCTCAGCGGCCATGGCTCACGGGCCCAGCCGCTCCGCGGCTATGCGGGACCCTCCCAGACCGGGGCACGAACCCGCGTCCCCTGCATCGGCAGGCGGACTCCCAACCACTGCGCCACCAGGGAAGCCCCTGGGTAATTCTTTGGCAGATAAGAATGCGATGGGTTTCCAGACCCGCTATCCCATAAGGCTACAAGAACTGAGGATTAGTCAATTAAAGTGCAATTCCGATTTGGAAGCCATCCAACTGAGGCTTCACTGTTGCTCTGCAGCCACCAGGGGCAGGATCATCTCTGGATAACACTCGTCCTAAGGTTCTAAGGAAGCCTTTTTATCAGAAATGCCTCCCAAAATTTAAAGATGTACTTTATTATTTTGAAAAAGTGCTTAAGAGAGAAAAGGCATTAACTCAGTCTTTCCTGTTTCCTTGGAAGAAGCACAGTGAAAAGAGAGAAACTTACCCAAGGTTCCACTGAAAAGTACATTTCAGGTAAGCATTTTGTAAATGTGGATGGCTGACTCCAGTCTCTGGGCAACCCTTGGTTCTGAGCATCACAGATGGCGGCTCTGCTGATTCTCAAAACCTCTGAGTCAAGGATGGGATTCTCCCATGTAGAGTCACCAAGGTGGGCTTCTGAAATTGAAACTCCTATAAAACCATGTCAGTGGACATCTAACCAGTATCATAAAACAGACTCTGCGATTTCATCCCCAAATGGGGATTTCTTTTCATGTGAGTCTGGAATGACTTCACCACCAAAGGTGAGTGACAACTGAAAATTGCCAGAAAAACCATCCCCCCTATTTTTGAACTACATAGTGTGGCTTTCCATGTCTACTTTCTAAACCCTATGTGGTGTTTCGGTTCCAGATTCCTGCTTGAGAATTTCCTTGCCTGCTCTTGGCCCAGTAGACCTGGAGTAGGTGGGCTCCAGCCAGAAGCGCTCTGCAGAGGCCACGCTTTCTCCCAAACGCCCTTCCTTGAGGTTTATGAGTGTGCCTGACAGAGGCTGTGTTCATGGGCGAGGGTGATCAGTGGCTTCTGAGACAGTGGTGAGCAAGGTGGCTGGTATCAATACTAAAGAGTGACGGTTATTCAGAGAGCTGGGCCATCAAGGGGCTGCTGGGGTTTTGTTTTTGTTTTTAAATAGTGATCTGAGACCCCAAGGATGTTTCCTTCTTGTCGACTTCTAGTGTAATTCAGTCTACTGGCTGGAGCCACCACTTTCAATAGCTGTCTTTCATTGTCGTCTGCATTAAAAAAAAAAAAATACTGCAACCCCAAAGCCTCAGTAAAATTGGGAACCTGTTTAAAATAAGAAAGCTATTTATAGAAGCCATACTTAAATATGGCTGCAAGCATATCTGCAGCCATAGATATTCTCTAGCTGCATAGTGCACAGCAAACCTGAGCTCGCACAGCAAAGTAACAAAGGACAAGAGTCCATTCAACACAAAAAATAAATATGCTGCAGAAGCGGGGTGTGACCGGGGGTCGGGGGGCATGTCTCTGAACACAGCAAAGGCCTTTTTGCACAACTGCAGTCACCTTTTGTTGTGGTGCCTCTAGGGGCCCACGCTCTCCTGCAGGAGTGGCTCTGGGTTGGCTTCACAAGAGCCAAGTGACTTTTTAAGCTACAGTCGGGCTGAGTGACAGAGGTTCAGAATCAGCCTCAGATGGAATGTTCCAGGCCTTTCGCAGGAAACACATCAGCTACTCTCGAAACGCTGGTTCTAGCTGCAGGTGACAGTGGTGATACCAGCAGAAGGCCATCAGCTTGGCCAGTCTCCACGGTATCCTGGGAAAGCTAAGCACTCAAACCAAGATTCCAGACTGCTTTGGGTTCTTTTGTTAGTTTCTCTCATGTGGTGAACTAGCCACACCTGATTATCCAAGAGGGTGGGTGGCTTTAAAGGCAGGATAATTTGCCCTGGAACAACCTTTAGGCTGTGTGGCACCCTGTGAGGACAAGCACGAGGCTAGGAAGTCTCTGGGGGCCTGGCTGTTTCCGTTTTGGTGCTGAGCACTGTCAGGACCTTGCTTGAGGAGACGCTAGAGACATGGCTTTCTGCCACAGGCGGCTGCTCCCAGGAAAGAGAGCACAAGAGGTCCAGCTTTTCTCTGCGCTAATCTCTCTGGAAGGTTCTGTTCACCATGTCCCAAACCCCACTTAAAGTGACTGGGAGTGCCTAAGTCTCCTGTTTAAATCAAAGTTCTAACTCCACCGCCAAAGCCATTTCCTCCTGCCCCTGCCCCACGAGTCCTCTCTGCTGGCGCGTGGTGGGTGTGGGGTCTGAGCTGAACTTGGCCTGAGGTTCCTGCCCATTCTCCAGCTCTCAGAACTGGTCAGACCAGGCTCGTGAACCACGAGATAAAGCTTCGAGGTGGTGTGGCTTGGCTTAGTCACCAGGCTAGCTGGAGGGCTGGCTGGGCCCAACACTCAGACCCACAGTCACCCTGCCTGGCGCCCTCGCCCTTGTCCCCAGCCAAGGTGGGCTGCTTTGTCAGATGTTCTACTCACTGTGCAAGTACCTGGGACCTGACTGCCCTGTGAACAGGGCACAGAAAGGCCGTCAAAGGTGAGCCCTCTGTGGTGGGAGAAGAGGGCCACGGAGAACAGGAAGATTATCTCCTTCTCTCGTCCTGGAAAAGGACAGAGGATTCACTTGCCCCAGAGGGAGGCAGCTCACAGGTGTCAGGGGCAGGCTGAGCAGCAGGAAGTGGGCAAATGGGGTGTGGGGAATCTGGTAGGTGGGGAGGGGGACCAAGAGGTGTGCAAAGAGCAGATTCATGAATTATGCCTGTTTACACTTGAGTTACCAAAGACTTTTGTTAAGAAGCTCCAATTTTTAAACGTGGTTCCTACCCTGATTTATGATCATTAGTAAACATATCTGCAGGTGAGGCAGAAGCTCTTATTGGTATAAACAAAGACAGGCTGTCAGCTAAGGAGTGAGCCCTATAGGCTGATGCACAACCCTGCGTTTTGGTCATGGCGTTGACATTACCCAGCATCTGGGCTCTGGCCGTCCGTAGACAGACAGCACTGCAGGCCCTCAGTAGGTGGGTTCTGTTCCCTGGATTAGCTTCAATTCTGATTCTTAGGGTGATGTTTTGAGCTGTTGAGAGGTCTGGCTGAGTGAAGGGCTTTGCTTGAGGACCGAATTGCCCAGACAGAAGGGCCAGGAGGCAAGTGCAGCTGGAGGCCCCTCTGAAATGGCTGAGTTCTGGAGCAGCCCTGGACTCACGGGGCAGGAAGGGACAGGAGCATGATGGAGGAGGCTGGTTGGGATCTTGGGTGGGCCCCTGGGTGCCCCGACCTCCTTTTCCTGGGAGGACTCGAGGGCCTCACAGGGTCTGGCCAGGGCATCCCAGCTCATGGTCACCCATGGTGCGTGGCCCCAGGCTGGGCACAGGGGGACCATGTCTCTCCCTGAGCAGAAGTTGGGATCCTCTCTCGCCTGGGAAACTCTCCACAGGAGGCCTGGAACCAACTGTGCCCCAGGAGAGGCCAATGGTCTCCTGAGTGTTTAAAACTTTGGCATAGTGTCCCTCTGGGTGTGAGGACAATGGAAACGTTGCTTGAGCCCTTAGAAGCCACAGGGCTAAGAGTGACGTGCGTGGTGCTGAGGACGAGGAACAACCCAGCTCCAAGGGCAGCCAAGGGCCCGCTGCACAGTGGATCTTGATAGCTTCAGAGCAGCTGGTTTCTGTTTTTTGGGTTTTGTAAGTGCTTTATGTGACAGGAGAGAAGAGTAGTGTCTCCTGTGGGTAATGGGAAACTATTAAAATCCACGTGCTTGAGGCTACGGGAAATCACTTCCATCATAGATCACAGGCCGGTCAACCGTTAAGTGATAAAATACTTTCTTGGAGACAAACCTGAGGAAGCAGAAACGGAAAAGGAGGTGTTACCTTGAGGGCTAAAAGCCCGAGGGGCAGCAGCTGCAGTGACCTGGCACGGCGAGTGTTTGTGCAGAGACCTCTGCTCGGAGGCTGGGGCGTCTTGCAGAATGTGTGGACTCTTCCCCCCCTCACCCCCACTTCCTGTCTGTCTAGCAGAGACATCTCCCTGCAAAGTATCAGGGGTCTTGGGACACCGCCACAGACTTTCCTGGGGCTTGGGTGCAGAAAGGCCCATTTGGTCTCACACTGTGAAGCCCCGCCCCCGCTTGCCTTGCTGCTCTGAAGCAGTCCCGGGGGTCTCCGGGGTCTAGGTGGTCTGGACTGCACTGGGGAAGTGAATGGAGCAGGCATGGAGAGGACATACACGGTGGAAGTGAGCCTGGATTTCATTCTGACTGGGCCTCTAAATCCATTTTGCTGTCCATGCTTTGGAAGTCTCGAGTAGGCCCCTGAGATGACCTCAGTGGATTAAGGCCAGAGTGTGTCACTGCACCACGGCCGCTTCTAATGATAACTGGGGGCCAGCCTGGGGCTGCACTCTGCCCTCAACATGCCTCTACCGGCCTCTCCGTCAACACACAGTGGGGTTCTGTGAGGTAGTAAAAATGCTGGCTGCCACTTCAAAGGAAACTGGGGTTCAACTAAAACCCACAGAGGGAAGAGCAGAGCCTGTGCCCAGCTGACCTCCACCCAGTCTCCTAACCACCGCCCCAGAGGGGCTGAGGCCCACGTCCAGTCGGAAAGCAGCACTCTGGACACGCTGGGCCTGTGCCCGAGAATCCTGCTAACTCAAGGTGTGTTCATGTTCATGGGG